GGCAATCATCAAGGGAGATGTAGTTCATAACCTTTTAAGGGCCAAAGGTTGCCTACCCTTTCCCTTGAGAGTCAACAAACCCTTCTTTTCTATCATGAACCAGACCTTAGAAAGTATTAAAGAGATAAAAATAACAGCTGGTTTTGCAATTAAAAACGATAAGAAACTAATATATAGTCAACTAGGTCTGCAAAGCAAGTGAGCACACACCTTCATGAAGTTGATATCATCAGTTTTGTCAAACATGACTTGCACAGAGCTCAGTAGCTTTTTGGCCTCTTGCATGCGCTCATTCAGTTGTAGAACCTGTGCTGCATTCTCATTGCAGAACTTGGCTTGCGCCTTGTCCAAAATGTCCATAGTCTTCCTGAGATCCTCATCCAAGATCTGGTGCAACTTCTCATACTGCAAACGGACCTCGTCCTTCAACTGGCTGACCTTTTCCTGTAGATAAAAAAAATATTTATATTAAAAAGTCAGAATTTGGAAGCCAAGCAAAGATATAATTAGTGCACATACAACGGTATACACTATAGTAAAAAATAAAAGTGGGAGCCTGGGGTGCCCCTTTACTAATAAAAACCCACCTGGTATAACTAACTGTAACATAACCTACACAGTGCATCTAACATTTCTGGGAGCCTAGAGTGTCCCTTCAATTATATAAACCCACCCAGTATAACTGTAACCGAATCTACACAGTGCATACAACGTGTGGGTTTTACCACAAACAATCTGATCGGTATTTACCACGAAAGAAGAACTTATATCAACGTGACCAAGATTATAAGGGAAAACCATGAAAAAAGGGAATCAAACCCTGGGACTATCAGACAGAAAGAGTAGGGAAATTAAAAAGAAGATATTGAACACTATGACTTTAAATGTTAAACCAAATTGAAAGCTTATTAATAATGGCATTTGTATGGGGTCTGAATTGTGTCCTATAAATCATCAAAGGTACTAAATCATTTAAAGGGACTCTCCAGTGCCAGGAAAACAAATTTGTTTTCCTGGCACTGCAGGACCCTACAGTGCCCCTCTTACTCCCACCCCCCATCCCATGTTGCTGAATGGGGTTAAAACCCCTTCAGTGACTTACTTGAATCCAGCGCCGATGACCCTCTGCGCAGGGTCAGGCTCTGCCTACGCTTCTCCCCCGCCAACGTCAGCCGGCGGGGGAGACCTAATGTGCATGCGCAGCAATGGCAGCGCGCACATTAGACCTCCCCATAGGAAAGCATTATTCAATGCTTTCCTATGGGGATTCCTGAGATGCTGGAGGTCCTCATGCATGGTGTGAGCACGTCCAGTGTCGTTTAAAATATTTTTCATGTTTTAAGAAAACGGAAGTCCCTCTAGTGGCTGTCTGTCAGAGGACTTAACCCTGCAAGGTAATTATTGCAGTTTATAAAAATTTCAATAATTACACTTGCAGGGTTAACAGTGACGGGAGTTAGCACCCAGACCACTACAATGGGCAGAAGTGGTCTGGGTGCCTGGAGTGTCCCTTTAATAAAATCCAATGACAAAATGATTTTATGAACCCCTGCAGTACAAACTGAGTGCATGCACAAGGCTAGTTTTATTTTGCTCTGAACTGCAATGCGATGCAAAACTAAACATTTATCTTCCTATACTGCTCCAGTGCAGTTTCTCTCCTGGTGACAAAATACATTTCTCAGCCAGTGATCAAGTCAATTCAACTGACCAAATACAAAACAAAAATAATAATAATCACAGTTTAGTAGATATGACCCGAATGAAAACATGCATGTATTTAATTATGCATTTCTCCATTGTGGGTATACCTAAAAAGAGCTTGCAAAAGTTGCAGTTCTTTTGTCTGCTGCCTTTGCAAGCCCTCCCCTTCTAACTCCACCCAATCGTTCTCTGGTTGTCCAATTACAGACTTCCCAATGCAGGGAAGGTGCTCTGGGCAATTACTGCATCTCGAGTTTAGATCCACTGAGCTAAACAAGCTAGCAAGTAACAGGACTGGTTGTCTGAATGGGGTGTAGCAAGGTTACTTTATAAAAGGAGTAATTACTATTGAAATCTGCACTTCAGAGGACCTATTACTGGCTTGTGGAGAACCGACAAGGAAACTAAGGATTCGAAATATCCAAATTGGAGGAAAATCTTTTGAAACTTATTATTCACCATATCCGTTTTATAAAATAAGTTCCTTTAATTGTAATCTTCCT